TTCAGCCTGAGCCCCTTTCCGTCCTTCCCCCTGCGACGACCAGTGATAGCCCCACAACCACTGCTCTCTCTCCCTCCACCTATCTTGTCGACCAACCTGAAGACGAGGTCACCAGCTACCCTACTTCTCCTCCCTCCGAGCGTGCTCGTCGAGCTATCGGCCAGGATGACGAGATTGAAGACGAGGACGATCCTCAAGACCATGTCCCGCTGTCTACTCGTGTTCCCGTTTCTTCGACCATGCTCTCTCACTCCCCTCATCCTAAGCCTTCTAAACGGTCCAAACCCTCTAAACCGTCGACGAGTGCTTCCCATCTCAACTTTGATGCGATTGGCCATTCTGGGGCTGCTCGCACTCCCGATGACGATGATACCTTTGATAAACCTCCTGAGGGTTATTACACCTTCTTCCGTGCCCATTTCGACCTAGGCCTCCGTTTCCCCATCTGCCCAGCTTTGCTCGACTTGTGCGGTCTATACGGCCTGCCTCTCAACCAAATCACCCCCAACGCTTTTAGGACATTAGCGTCCTTCATTATTTTGTCCATAGTCCGAATGGGTAGAGTAGATTTAGACTTTTTTGTATACTGCTATTTTGCTTCCAAACAGTCAGACGACCTATATTTGAAAAGCCGAAATAAAGCCTGTTTTATTACTGATCGACCATCCAATGTGTCGAGGTGGAAAGACCAGTTTGTGTATATACGCCCTCCGCAGCCTTATCCTTGGGCGCCCATTCCTTGGCTCACCGAAGTGCCCATAAAACCTGCTCGCCCTGCCGCTAACCCTCTTTTCGACCGACGCATACAAGTGTGGAACTCCAACCCGTTGCTTCTACTCCTTTGCTCGAAAATGATAACCTCCTCCACTATTGTGGAATTTTGACTCATAAGGCGTTTTCACCCCCTGTCGCCGAGACCATTCTCCAAATCTGCGTTGACCCCAAACTTGCTGAAATTAATAAGACAACTCGAGCAAGTGCTCGAGTCATCATCATGCCTTAGATCTGTTTAATGCTATTGATCGACTTCTAACTAACTCTATTATTCTTGCAGAGGGATTTTTGCATAAGCCGGACTTGAAGAAATCTGGTGATAGGAGGTCCGCTCACAGGGACACTCCCGCCAACGTCGAGAAGACCAAGGGCCAATCATCGACCAAAGATGGTGCCTCTCGACCAGAGAAGTCTGGTGTCGGTGCTTCCTCCCATTCGAGCAAGCAACGAGCTCCTTCTCCTCCTCCTAGGCAAGTCGAGCGTCATTCCACCCACTCGACAAAAGAGAGTGACGTCTCCAAGAAACGTCCTCGAACCGAGGGGACTGGTCCCCACTCCACTAACCCTCTGCCTTCCCCCAAGCGACCACAGCTCGACGCTGCTTCTTCGGGAAATCCTCCTCCCTCATATTCTTCTCTGTCACTTGTGTCCGCTGGCCCCCGAGAGACCGTGTCTCGACTGATGAGCTTCTTACCGTTCGACGATACACATCGCTGGGGGGTGAATCGTCGTAATCAGGCCGAGTATGCCGTTCGTGCGGTGACGCAGGTATATTTCCTTCGTATCATTATTTTCGAGCATCCTGTCTTGTGTTGTACTTAATTTTATTCTTGCTACAGACTTTGGTCTCCGTTGTGCCTCTCCTCGAGGAAACATTGAACAACACTGGTCACCCAATTCCTGTGCTCGAGGGCGACAATAGGCGTCTCGAGGAGGAGAATAGGAGGT